GTTTTATATATTTTATTTTATGTATATATATATATATATATATAAATACAAAATTTTAATATAATACATATGTTTTAATTTTTCATATATTATTTAAATTAATTATATTAATATAATGTTATAAAATATAATACATTTTATATTAATTATATTAATATAAGATTAATGATATAAAAAAAAAACATATTTTATTATATAATGTTTACATTTTGTGTATATATATATATATATATATATATATAAAACATTATATGAAACGTTACGAAAGCATCACTAAGTAGTTTAGAATAAAATTATTAGAATGGAAGAAAAAAAGAAAGAAAACAATTTAGAAAAATAATATGAAGAATAATATTATATGCTTTAAATAGTGAAGTATTTGTACGTTATGGTATTAATTCCTTGCACTGTCTTTATTTTATGTTGATTTCAGCTTCAGCACTGGCCTTTAAAATACTTATATTGTTTGGAAATCACATTGAAGATTGTATATAAGAACTGTTGTTTGTACGTTTGAAAAAAACATCAATATTGAAACCTATTTTGAGCTCTTTTCTGTGTTAATACGTGACCCTGGAGCACAGAAGCAGTGTTAAGTCGCTGGGGTATATTTGTAGCAATAGCCAACAATACATTGTATGGGTCAAAATTATCCATTTTTCTTTTATGCCAAAAATCATTAGGATATTAAGTAAAGATCATGTTCCATGAAGATATTTTGTAAATCTCCTACCGTAAATATATCAAAACTTAATTTTTGATTAGTAATATGCATTGCTAAGAACTTCATTTGGACAACTTTAAAGATGATTTTCTCAATATTTTGATTTTTTTGCACCCTCAGATTCCAGATTTTCAAATAGTTGTATCTCGACCAAATATTGTGCTATCCTAACAAACCATACATCAATGGAAAGCTTATTACTCAGGACCCTTATGACTGGTTTTGTGCTCCAGGGTCACATATGAATTTCTGTCTTTGTTTGTCAGATGTTGATGAGTGCTCAGAAAGCCCTCAGATCTGCGGTCCGTACAGCATCTGCAGCAACCAGCCCGGACCTTTCCGCTGTGAGTGTGTGGAGGGTTTTCAGTTCGCCGGCGATGGACGAACCTGCGTCGGTAAGAGCCTGTGTTTGGGAGACACGCTCCCATGTGACCAAACCCCTTCTGAGCGGCGTTTGAGCTTGTTGTGCCTGTGTCCCGTGCAGAGACGGAGCGTCCCGTGGATCACTGTCAGAGAGGAACGCACGACTGCGACGCTCCCGAGCGCTCCAGATGCAGCTACACCGGAGACTCGTCTTATATCTGCTCGTGTCTGCCGGGCTTCTCTGGAGACGGACGGGCGTGTCAGGGTAACGTCTCACTCGCTGCCAAGCCGAAATACACATAACATGCAGATCTAATGCCTAGTAGTGGGTGTAAATGACGTCTGTTCAGTCTCAAATTTTGATGGTTAAATTTTAGTTAAAGTTTTAGTGTGTTTTTGTCATTTTTATTCATTTTTGTTTTTAAATGTATATAGTTTTCTAATAGTTATTTCTATTTATTCGTTTTTATTTTTATATTTTAACTTTAGTTTTCGTTTTGGGGATTTAGTTGTGTTTTTTGTCTTATTAATTTTTTTTTTTTTTATATTTCTGTATAGTTTTTATAAATGTATTTATTCGTTTTTATTTTTATATTTTCTGTTTTCACTTTCATTTCAGTTAAAGATTTCGTATTTTTGTAGTGTTTTTTTGTCAATTTTATGATTTTTTAAAATATGTCTATATAGTTTATATAGTCTATATAGTTATTAATTTTTGTTTTTAAATGTATATCGTTTTTATTAAATTCTATTTATTCATTTTTATTTGTATATTTTCACTTTAGTTTTAGTGATTTTTTTGTGTTTTTTGTCATTCTTATTAATTTTTATATTTTAAATATTTCTATATAGTTTTTATACATTTATTTATTAGTTTTATTTGTATATTTTCTGTTTTCTCTTTAATTTCAGTTAAAGATTTTGTATTTTTGTAGTGCTTTTTTTTTTGGTCATTTTTAGAATTTTTTCTTTTTAAATATTTCTATATAGTTTTTATAGATTTATTTATTAGTCTTTATTTTTATATTTTCTGTTTTCACTTTCATTTCAGTTAAAGATTTAGTATTTTTGTAGTGTTTTTTGTTATTTTTATGATTTTTTTAAATATGTCTATATAGTTTATATAGTCTATATATTCATACATTTTTATTTTTATATTTTCCGTTTTCACTTGAATTTTAATTAAAGTTTTAGTAATTTTGTTGTGTGTTTTTGTCATTTTTATTAATTTTTGTTTTTAAATGTCTATATAGTTTTTATTAAATTCAATTTATTCATTTTTATTTTGATATTTTAACTTTAGTTTTAGTTATAGTGATTTTGTTGTGTTTTTTGTCATTCTTATTCATTTTTATTTTTTAAATATGTCTATATAGTTTTTATACATTTATTTATTAGTTTTTATTTCTATATTTTCTGTTTTCACTTTAATTTCAGTTAAAAGATTTAGTATTTTTGTAGTGCTTTTTTGTCATTTTTATGATTTTTTAAAAATATGTCTATATAGTTTATATAGTCTATATAATTATTAATTTTTATTTATTAGTTTTTATTTTTATATTTGCTTTTTTCTCTTTAATTTTAAAGTTGTAGTAATTTTGTTGTGTTTTTTGTCAATTTTTATTATTTTTTTTATTTATTTTTTTTTACTCACCTTTCAAAAACAGTTGTTTAGGATTAAATTTAAAATAAGAAATATGTTGATTTTGATTTGTTTGAGATGATTTCAAATCAATCACGTATGATCCTTATTCTGGTTCAGATGAAGCCGTATTTGAAGACAGTCGTCAACTCAACTCACATTTATTTCTACAGCGCTTTCTACAATACAGACTGAAAACACAGCAGTGTCATTATTCAGTACAGTGAAGCGTCTGTGGGTTTTGTGTCAGTCTCTCAGCAGACAGCAGGGCCCCCAGAGACAGGAAGTGCTGTGATCTGGACAGGAAGTGCTCGCCACAGCTGTGTGCGTTATTTAGTCTCCCACGTCATAACGGCTCAGTCTCACATTTTCACGCTGAGGTCGTCTGAGACGCTCCAGCTGTAAGGAAGGGCTGGTGTGTTGCACACATGTATGTTTGTGTGAGCGATTCGCTGCAGGGTGGACATACTTCATTAATAACACGCAACAGATGTGCATTCCTTCATATAGAGCTGATTCTGAAGAGTCGAGGCTGACTGAGCCGATAAAGCTGTGCACATAGAGCTGTTTGCATGTGATTTTCTCTCTCTCTCTCTGTGGCATGCAGATATCGATGAGTGCCAGCCGGGCCGTTGCCATAGCGATGCCATCTGCCACAACACCCAGGGCTCCTTCACCTGTCAGTGCCGGCCTGGTTTCCACGGCGACGGCTTCAGCTGCACACCTGGATCCGGTAGGTGTTAGTGCTGTATGCGTGACGCTCTAAAGTCAGCAACTAGGGTTGTTATAATGTTACGTAGGAGTCAAACCATAAAAAACCCTTTTTCATTACTTCAAATTAACTAAAATAAAATAAAATATAGTAAAAACTTCAGCTTATTTTATTTCAGCAAATTAAATTAATTGCTAAAACTAAATAAACTAAAACGAATAAAAACTATATATACATATTTAAGAAAAAAATAAGGAAAACACAACACAAAATTACTAAAACTAACCAAAATTAAAATAAAAAAACACAAAATATAAAAATAAAAATCCAATTCAAAATAGGCATATATATATATATATACACACAGAAGGATTTTTTTAAATGAATTATTATAATTAATTAAAATAAATATCAAAATCATAAAATAATAAATAAATAAATTATATAATAATATTTTAATTATTATATATATAATGTATAATTAATATATTATTATTATTATTAATAGTATAATAATAATAATAAATAAATAAATAATAAATGCATTTTTTAATATAAATTTAAATCAGTTTATACTAATAAAAAATACAAATTAATAAAAAATTAATCATTCACAGTAAGACTAAAAACATAAGATAAGATAATAAATAGAGTCCATTTGGAAGTTGGTTTATAGTTTTTTTCAGGGCCTTTTATTAATTTTTATGACTGTAATACTGCCTTAAAAATAAAATAATTCTCTTGAAATCGTTGAACATTATATTAACTATTAAAAATATATTTTTACTCACAAAAAATAAAAAAATCTATATTTTTACTCATAAACTAAAACCTAAAACTTAATATAGACATATTAAAAAAAGAATGAAAATGGCAAAAACACACAACAAATGACTAAAACTTTAACTAAAATTAAATAAAAATAGAAAATATATATATAAAAAATCTCGGTAACACTTTAAGATGTCCTTGTTACCAGAATTTTAATTTTGGGGTGAACTAACCCTTTAAACCCACTAAAAGCTGTATCATTTTACTATGTTCTTAGTAAACATAAAATATACTTCAAGTAAGAGTAAAATAAGTATGTTTTCCGTAAATACACTAAAATGTCACAAAAGTATGGTTGTGTTTTAGCTATTCTTAAAAGCATATTTATTCTTCTTTAACAATGTTATACTGTGACAGTCTTTTTAAAAACAAAAGTAGTTTTTTTTTAGTTTTCGTATTTAGATAATTAGCTTCTGATATCATATTTAATGGAGTTTATGGTAACACTTTATTTTAAGATGTCCTTGTTACACATGTTACATGTACTTACTATTATAATAACAATTATTTATGCATAATTACATGCTAGTGACCCTAAACCAAACCCAAAACCTAACCATATAGTAAGTAGATGTAGTTAATTAATATTACTCAGTAATTAAATGTATAATTACACTGTAACAAGGACACCTTAAAATAAAGTGTAACCAAAACCTCATTCAAAATATTAATAGTATCTCAATGCTACAAAAATAACTGATGAAAATAAGCATATTTTTTCAGAATAACATGCACTGATGAAAGTGCACCAGATACAATGATTTGTTTTGTTTAAAATAAATATTACAAATGATAAAATAATGAAAAAAATGTATAATAATACATATTTTTTTAGTAGAAATAAATGGATCATTCACAATAAAACCAGACACATATATTTAGATAGTAAAAGAAGTCCATTTGGATTTCATGTTGACTTTGAAGGCGTCCTATTATGCTCTTTTACAAAGTCTTGATTTTGTTTTGGGTGTGTACTAGAACAGGCTCTCATTCTAGGTTGTTCGAAAAACACATTATTTTTTACATATTTTACATTATTAAAACACCTCTCTCCCCAGTTCTGGCATGAACGGCCGAAATAGTTCCTTATCAAATGAAGGCCCGCCC